GTGACAAAATTGTCACTATTTTGGATGTTATTTGGTATTGTCTAGTTATTTGTGTTTGTAGGTTATAGTATTGTAAAGTAAATTAATTGAATAAACTCATCATATAATATACTTAATAGTGCTAAGTCTGTTGCTTAGTAACTAGTGTACAGGTGTACATGAATCAGGTCATAGTTTGATTTGCAGTGTGCTGGTATGCGAGTGTGTATTGGAAGTTAGTGATATGCACTTACAGGTGGGTGTATGGACGTTTACTAGAGTAGGCTGGAGTGATGAATACAACTGCTTTTGTGATGCAAAGTAGGTCAGTGTGCTTGGTAATTCTGCAGTGTGATGTGGTGAGTTGTCCAGGAGTGAGCATCTTCTGCAATTCTACTCGTGGTGACTCGTAATTTTACTATCAACTGGCAAGGCGTTCAGGCTTTGAGTTGGTGGGAGTCGGTGGTGACTTTGCTGTATTCGGTCAGCCAAGTATATAATGTAGAGGTCTGCCAAATTAGTTTTGCAGCTTGCGGATATTCCTGAGACTTGGAGATTCCACCCTTTGGTGATGGATATGGACAAGACGTCAGCACATAGAAACTGCAAGTTGAGATTTCAGTTTAATCATTTCCTAGTAGTTCATTGAACTGTGTCGAGCACGGTAGCCCGATTAAATACATCCATATTACGTTTCGTTAGTTGTGTTTAAAACTGCAGGTATTATGCAATGTACTTGCCCCTTTTCCAGATGACCTGTGAGCCGTCGTGACGCATGGAACATGGAGCGCAGTCTGAGTGGAAGGCTGTGAAGTGGAATTCTGGATTGTGTGGAGTGAAGCAAGTGTTGAGCAAGTGAACGTTTGAACTTACCGGGCATTAGGACAGTCTTAACTGGTTGTGACGTGTTCATGGTCTAACCGGTTGTATTACCAACTTGTAATGCTAGTTCTTAATTTACTGCTTGTATTTATAACGTGTATGCTTCACGCATTATTGTAATTTTGATGAGCCTGTAGTCTAGTTTGTCTTATTGTATGCCGTTTTATGGATTGTGACATGTATTAATATAACTAGCAATATTTCCCTTAGTAGCATCCCATTGTGTATAGAACTCACTACTAGCTTAATAAAGCGTATTAATTCTGAACCGCACACTGGCGTGATTTCTGCTTGTTATTTATATTGCATGTGCTGCCTGCTAGAAAAATCTGACACTGATGTGTATTGAGAAAGACACTTATAACTTAATCAACTTTCAAAAAATAAGACGTCGTAAATGTTTTGTTGTTTATCAACAGTTTATACTATAGGATAAACATACGTTTCCAACAGCACAATTGCAACTGTCCAAAAACTGTATAAAAAATATTGTAATATTTAATTAACATTTCTTAAAAATGGACGAATAATTTTTCGATGTAGTAATTTGGGTGTTACTAGGTGTATATTGTCTCGAATAAAGATGACGTCATTATAAATAATTCATTGTTTTAAACAAATCGGTGGTATAGATCATGGATTACATCATTGTGCAATGAGCAACATAAAGGTTACCACAAAGTGTGGTATTTCGTAAATATTATATGCCACTGAAAATAATGTTAATTAATTAGTATGATATCACCGGTAATGAAGTGTTGACAATGTACAATCATTGTTTTCATAACAGTTTATGAACAACGAGTGTATTGTTACAGATATTAGACAAGCCGCGAGTTTTGTTTCTGATAATTAATACAATAATTACTATATTTATTATAGCGTTATTGTTCGTGTCAGTTTTTTTGTTGCCTTAATTTCACGAAGCGAGTACATAGAGAAACAAACATTGTAATTATTAATCATGTAATCTGCTTTCAAAACTAACGTAACAGATCTTACGAGAAAATATTACGAATATGGCATTTTTCAGATACTATGCCTTTAACAAAAACATGAAAAAAATCAAAATGGATCTCGGTTATGTCGTAGACTATAGATGTCTCTATTGTAAACACAATTTTACTCCCTGCCAATGTGCTAACCGTCACATAGAAAATATGGATTAACAAACATCGAAAGTACATGAAAAATAATCTCAGTATGGTTGTTTTCACACTTACAAAAAATAGTGCATATTGAGACATAGAGTGAGGATTTTGGCTCAATTTACATTGTGTTATGATAGTCTATATCAAAATTACCAGAACATGTTTCAAAATTGACAATCCCCTCATTGCGAAATGAAAGATAAATATACATACACAAATAACAAAGCAACCTACTCTACTCACCGTGTCTTACAAGGATAACACGTAGCACAATGGGATCGCTGTTGTTAAATGTGTGGAGTCACCGTTACCTGTGACACTTAGCAGAATAGCCACGTCAGCGTGGACACGTCGACACTGGTGTTAATGATTTGTACAAATTTGAATTCTTGATGTGATACAGAAGTACAAAAGAAACAATATTGTCGTTTAAATCGTTACAAGCTCGCGTCTATCATCAGCATATATATTTTATCGCAGAATGATTCGAAAAGCTCATAAACGGTCCGTATGGTACCATGAACACAGTCGAAATACTGTCAACTTAATGGTATTTATACTATATTATTTATGTCCATATTAGCTCTATAGATGCGACGATTTACGAGTGTTTTAGTTGGCTGATAGAAAAACACAACTACCATACACTACTTCGAATTTACCGATTTCAGTTAATTTATTTATGATTTATTTTTAGTTCTGATTTAACATTTATTTCCAAACCAATTATGCAATAAAGTGGAGCAAAACGCACGTTTTCCGATGACTCAAATATCCAAGACACAAAAATGTCGTTTATTTTGATAGGTGGAAGAAGTATCGAGCCAATTCCCCCATACATTAACAATTAAAAGTGAATCAAATGCATCACTACATCATTTATCAGACACATCCTACTTCCTAAGTATCCTCACGTAATTTACGAGTCATGGCATCCGTTCATCCATCGACATTTATTACGTGAATTATGTAACCAGGCATAGTATGTGAAAATCACGCAAATAAGCCCGTTACTTTAGTAATACAAATTGATGTTATAACTTAGTACACGACTGATTTGTTTCACCAAAGAAATCAAATACTTCCATGGAGTGTCTAACTAACTGAAAATAATGAGCATTATGTCATGGTTTGTTTTCACTGGTAATGTGTTATCGGGAATCTTATATTCAATTGTGTTATACAATTATTTGCGAGATTCCATAAGGCGCAGAATGTTCGATGACAAATTTCGTCATTCATTTGCCAAAATTTGAGGACAAATAGATATCTTAAATTTGTCAATGGTGAATGAAGTTAAACATTCAGTCGGTATACACTGGTATCTATTTGGGTGTTTTGTCGGTGAGTTTATTCTGTTATCGTTAAATGAGAATGGTTTATAACCATCGTGTAAACTAACCATATATCTCACCTATTTATATACCGTCTTTGTCGTAAACAGTGTTACTGAAATTGCTGGTGGGTTGTGAGCTGATATATAGCAGCCAATTCAAAATATAATGGAATTTCTTTCATAGTATAAAATGACCCGGGATTCTTTGAGTTGATAAAATACAGGAAAACAGACGGCGATTATTTATAGAATGGTGCTTTCTAGTGTCGCATTTATTAATCTTTTTCTTTGAAACACAAAGTGTATTATGTCTGTTCAGGAATAGACTCATAATAAGCTCGTGTGTGTGACGTTAATTGTCCTATGAGCAACTGTAATTTCGGTTTCCTATTGTTTTAGCGTCAGTATTATTCTGCAGTTTTCGGTCGATTTCGCGATTTTTTGTGTGTGTTATTTTTTGTGTGGATATAGTCAAGTTATGTGCACATTTAATTGCTTTCTAAATAGTAACACAGTGGATTCAAATTTACATGCAATATATTTTACATTCGCTAGTTTAAGACATGTTTGAGTAATAATTCGGAAAAGAGAATTGCTTAATCTTTTACAGTAATCCACATATCAAATATGTACGTATTTAAAATGAGGACGAGTACGCATACTGAAAGTCGCACACTACTTTTCACACGTTACCCCGGTATTGGCCGTGATTACCCTGTCTAGTGTGGTCAGTGTTTGCCCATCATGTGAAAAAATTGTTCACCCCAATACATTTCGATATATGTGACGTCACATATGAAGTATATTCTGCTGTCCGTTCCACAAATACCAAACGAATGAATGGTGACATATACAATGTCAATGGAGTACAAATCATGCTCAAATATAACAATAAATTCAAATATTATTCTGTTAATTTATTTGAAAAGTACATTCGCCTAGGCTGTGTTTCTCGATATAAGTTTCTTTACAACTCGTTCCATGGACAATTATTTATTAGGGATGTATATTGATAGCTTCGGGTCACTTTTTCTCTTATTATTTATGGAGAGTTCAAAGGATCAACTATAATATATTTCATGATCATGCTTTGCTCAATGGAATATATTTACGACTGACTTTTAAATATCACATCCGATATTTTATTGGATGGCTTTGATATATGGAGTATTTGGGATCATATACCAAATTTACTGACGGCAGAGGCAATATATCATTCTTGTGACTGTGATTCCTTGTGTTTAATTCCGCTTGAGTGATTCATGGATCCAGTAAACTCACCAGCAAATGTCAATAAAACACTTTAACGCAAAGGATATAAAAACTTTTAACTAAATCGAAAATGAAGGAATGGGTAAATCAACAAATATGGTTTGGGTTATCAGGGCAGCCGCGATTAATTAGATCAATGGCCTACACTTTAAAGAGGTCATATGCATAATGTCGATGTTAGAGAACTATCTGATTTCGAAACAAATTAATACAATTACAGTGATTTGTTCTAAACGTTTTCCTAACAGAAATGAACAGAAATGCTTGCTATGATAATCTCCGTAACACGGAACTAACCTTCAGGAAAACCATCTGAAATTCATATAAACAGTTGTAATAATAAAACAAATAATTAAAATATGAATGGTCACTACGTATCGTAAATCATGTATGGAAAGGCTGCAGGAAATGTGTGCAAATTATTATTATTATTGCTACAATATATAATTCTAAAAGAGTAGCAAATCCTACATAGTATTTTAACAATAAAGGAGACACTATAAATCAGGAGTCAACAACTAAATTAAATATACCAACATGTACTTTTTGTCATCTTGACAGCTGTCGCCGAGGTTCCGAGTGTCAGACGATGTCGTGGTTACAATAGCTGGCTGGACCAATACAAAAGCGATATATTCTCAAGATGCGTTTGAAATTTGGGATACACAACTCTTTCAGGGTAAACAAATCAAATGTGATGATTACCTTTAAATTTAATGCACATGATAGATATTAATGTTTTGATTCAGAGAATTGTTAATTGTTTTGGTTAGAAAATTGCGTCTTCGCCAGTTATCCTATTCGTTTACGACATAAAAGTAATTACTCGAACGTGATTACTATGTGGCAATTGAATCTACCCATAATCTTTTGCACGGTGACAGTTTAGCAGAGTTCATGGACAACGATTATAAAAATACAGTTTGCAGTGCGATGAAAAAGGTATAGTGTCCATCAAATGGGTAATACTATGGAGAGTCCAAAATTGGTAGAATCATGTTTATTACATAGAATGCCAAAACACAATTCGAAAATAATATAATATAATATAATACATAAATTTAATTTCGTTAAACCAATGTATGTGACAGGAATACGTGATTCGTTCTCAGTAAATATTTTTATTGCTCTGCCACGGGGCATAGATTTTATGTCTGCACCTACTTCATTTACCGTATATGTATAAATCCCCCATCGCAATAACCCCTCCTTAATAGCTCCCTACTTTGTGTTGTATGTTCATAAATCATAAATAAAACATTTATAGCGAAACGACATTTCGTTCCTATACCAACAGTTGGTTCAATGGCATCTCAAATGATTGTTTTTCTTTCCATTGCAAGAGGTTTATATCTTCCACGGTGTACAAAAAACGAATGTAATGAATAAAAGTAGTAATTATAAATATTTGTTTGGTGTAGACTTACGAAAGTCTGTGTTTAATGTACAATTTGCACGCTAAATTGTTACGCACTATGTACACCCCACTTAAAAAAAATATTCGATTTTATTATATTCGCAGTCGCTAGGCATCAAGAAACGTAACCTGTGTTATGTCACGCAGCAAAAGATAGTTTGACATTAATAAACCATTCACTGTGTTCCCCACACCATTACAAAGTCAGGCAGAACCTCATGAACAATCTTTTGATGGCATGTGTATAACACTGTGTTTGGTGAATAACTGAATTAGATTAGTTTCTTCTTTTGGTTTTTACGGTTCACTCCCAATTCACTTGTTATTAATCTGCTTTACTGATAACCAAGCCAATGTTTTCTATAGCTTACCGACAGCCCAATTGTTTATTAGTCTGCTTTACTTGTTATCCAGGCTTTCTATGGTTTACACATACTTCATTTGTTTTGTTTATTAGTCCGATACAACTTCACGGCAATTACGCTGGAAATAGCTATATTCAATATATATAGGCACCAAAGAAAATAACAATAACCAATAAGTGCTAAAGCTACGGTATCCCAATACAGACTAAATACCTTAATCGAGAATAAGTGTCAAACAAAATAAGTACCGGTCGTCACTAAAACAAAGTACAGCGTACCACCATTAAAACACCAAAATGTTAATATTTCACCGAGTGTATTGATGCTATCTCTATGTCGATTATTTGTATCAATCTGGAAACAACCAAATCTTTCCTGTGACGTAAGCTGGCTACTATGACTACTATGGTGACAGCTTGTTTGTACTATACATGTTTAAAAATGTACTTGTATAGAATCATTTAAACTCAGCAATAAAGGTAGTCTTATACAAGCCTACACACAAATTACAAAACGTTCATGACCATTTGATTCAGTCATGAGCACATGGTGGCGGATGACAATACTAAACCGTCTTTCAGTGGTTCGATTCACTGAACAAATTCTAACTGTCGACAAGTAAACACTGTTTTCTCGGTAACACACATCATTTTCCACTGTTATACTTGAGGTGAACTCACTCATCAGTTGCAGTGCACTTGTTTCTTGATAGTTTTTATTTTTTGTTTCGCGCAGCTCTCGCCCAAAGAGTGTAATACATTTCCGATATTAATTACAATACAGTTCTACATTTAAGAAAGTAAGTAAACTTAGTCATTTTAACTATGGACATACAATTACAGGTATATCATTCGAAGACCTTTAAGAAAACGTGGTAGACGGAGAGGGATCGGTGCAATGTATCGGGGATCGCGTGTCGCTGTTCCGACAATTGTGTGTGGTAATGTTCGTAGTCTT